GTGCCATGTGTGTCACCTCCCTGGCCAGGGATCAAACCTGTGCTGCAGAGGCTGCCAATAGCTTCATAGTGCTGCCTCTTAAATACTTGTGCCATCATGGGGTCCCCGAATGATCCTTTTCAAGCACTGTTCTCCATGCTGCATAGCCCTGACTCTTCCCAGGTTCTGTCTGTGCCTCTGTTGTCACACTTCTTTGCTCTCTTTCCCTGGGAGTTCCTCTGCCCTTGCTTCTTCTCCACTCCCAAGATCCGTTTCTCCACTCCATGCCAATGCTGTAAAATGTAGACACCTCAAACTCAACTTGTCCAAAACTAGACAATATTTCATTGCTCCCCAATGAGGGCCAGCTGCCCTTTGCTTTTTTGCTCAGGTCTGCCTTGATCTCTTCAATCAACACCCTGCTCGAGTCACTGAGTCTCCTGTCAACAAGTCTTCTGCTTTTGTTCCTGGCATTTCATTCTAGAGTTCAGTCCTCCTCATTTCTACTCTTGGAATATTGGGAGAGTCCTGAATTGTTTCCTGGATTCTGTTCTCTGATTCATTATGGTCAGTACTGGAAATTGGTTCTGTTAACATGTCCTTAGCCCAAACTCCTATTAAAAACATATCCAGTGATTCTCAAAGGTCTGTGAATTAGAGTTTATTCAAGTTTCTCTATCACCATGTTTCTCATCCTACACTTATTTCCCACTATTTGTGGTAAATATTCTCTGTACTTACGCTACACATAATTGCTTGTGAACATAATAGTTAATATTATCCCTACTAACTCCCAGCTACTGCAAATATATCTACATATAAATGACTAAACAGAGTAAGAGGAACCACTTAATCCAATAAGTCTTCACTTAAGTCCTTGATATGTTCTTAAAAACTGCAACTTTAAATGAAACAACATATAATGAATTAATTTTACCATAGGACTATTGATATAAACAAGAGTTAAGTTCCTCTGGCATATTTGTGGTCACAAAACATCTGCAAACTTCTAAATACCCAAAAACTTTTAAAATTAAACAATAATTTGTTCAATTTTTAAATGCATTGTACATCTTAAAAACCCTGAGCCAGGGCCTCCCTGGTGGCACAGGCGGTTGAGCGCTGCACTGTGAAGCTGTCCACAGCCTCTGTAGCACGAGTTCGTTCCCAGCTGGCCTGCGAGAATCCCACATGGTGAAGCAGACCTCTCTGTTTCACCCGTTGCTCCCCTCAGCAGTGTATTTCTTCAGTCTGCCTGTTCTGTTCCTCACTCTGTCTCCGGTGAATCCTCTCACCCTCCTGCACATCTGGTCTGTACCTTGCTTCTTGTATAAAAATAAATAAATCTTTAAAAAATAATTCTTAAAAAAAAAAACAACACTGAGCCAGAAACCCCAGCTAAGTCATTTCTATATTTCTGACCACAGAAGCCATCAGATAGTAAATATTGTTTTAAATCATTAATTTTAGGAATATCTTTTAATGTGGCAATAGTTATACAGTGCATAAAGATTTTAATGGTAGTGATGGTTCATCAACTAGTGAATGAATAAGCAAATTGTGGCTTATCCATACAATGGAATGCTACTTAGCAATGTAAAGGAACAAGCAACTGATATATAGAACACAAACACCCTCAATAGCATCACGACAGGTAAGAGAATCCAGACACAAATTCTGGCTGATTTCAATTACGTAAAATTCTACAAAAGACAAAACTATGGTGATAGAAATCAGATCAGTGATTAACCTGAGTCATATTTGGGAGGAGGAGATTGTCTAAGATTGGATACAAGGACATTTGGGAGATAATAGAAACACTCGATATTAAGATTGTAGTGATGGTTATGCAACTTATGTATTTGTCAAGGCTCATTGAACTTTGAGAGCACTTATTGCACATAAAGTGTAGCTTGATAAAACTGCTTAAAAGAGAAAAAAAATTAAGTGGCCATATAGCATAAAGAAGTAAAGTAATTCAAGTTCTATTTCATGTCTTTACAATCATAGTGTAATCATTGTTTATATTGAATCTATTGTTTAAATGCAAGAATAGGGCCTCCCCTGGTGGCACAGCAGTTGGACGCTGGGCTGTGAAACTGCCTGCAGCCTCTACAGTGCCGGTTTGATCATCAGCCACTGGCGAGGGTCCCACATGGTGCAACAGACCTCTCCTGATGTGCCCACTGCTCCCATCAGCAGTGTATTTCGTCCGTCTGCGTGTTCTGTTCCCCGCTCTGGCTCTGGTGAATCCTCTCACCCTCCCACGCTTCTGACTGCATCCAGTGCTTATATAAATAAATAAATAAATCTTAAAAAAAAAAAATGCAAGAATATGTAGGACCACAGTAGTTGGGATGCTAGCTGATACTGTGGGTAGGAAGTTGTTTGAATTACTTTCTGTAGTGCCAGCAGGCAGCAGGGCAGAGCTGGAAGGGAAGAGTCCTGGAGCCCACAGTGGCTTTTTCAGGCTTTTTATCATCTTTCTACACCATTTGCAGTGAGGTAATAGGGGGACTCTCCAGGCCCTCTGGGCTCATGTTCCTTACTCATCCCTCGAGGACAGATTCCTCAGCACCTCACCCTTGTTCAGACAGTGAACAAGACATCACACAGATTATTTTAAGAGGCTCACCTGCCCTCTTTAGCATCCTTTGGCTGCTTAATCACGCAGGGCTTCCCAACCTTGGCACCAGCTTTTGCCTTGTCTAATGTGGCTTTTCTGTTACATCTCCTCTGCCTGGCTGCAGAGAACTCCACACAAGGCTTCTTAGGGTCACTGAGGCCCACTGGCCACCCCTTGATTCTCATTTCCTGGGGTGTACAAATGATACCATCACCCCCAGTTCTCATAGACATAATACCAACCAAAATTTCTCCAGCCTTCTGGTGGAACCGTCAGTCCCCCATCTATTTTTTTCCTCGCGTCAGCACTGGGCAAGCTCTGAATGACAAATGATGAATCGTGATCCTCTTTCATCCTCTGCGACTCTGCTGCCTCATCCTCTGTCATGGGCCAGTCAACTTGTATTATTGATCACCTACCACAGACTAGTGATTACTAATAAGGTACTAGTAATTTCAGGTAAATGGTCACTGATATCGAAGACTTTTAAATTCTGATGATGGCATTTGACATTATGAAGGCAATCAACATAATCTCCAAAAGGTTAAAGCAGAAAGCTCCCTAAGTTACAGGTTGTCCTCTGTTCCCCTTTGATTATTTTCCTCATACTCCTCATAAACTTCAGGTGCAGGGCTCAGAAGCGAGAGCTGACAAGTGGGACCTTCTACATCATCTTAGATCTTTCCATGTGTCCTTCTTATGGGCTTATAACATTCATCTGCCAATGAACTCTTCAAAGCCTCTGTTGGATCCAAAGTGCTTCTGAGATTCTTGATGCAGGGATGCAGCTCAGAATCCAAAGCAGCCTCCTTAATATTCTGCACCACTAGCAAAGACTTAACAGCAAATATCCAAAAAAAAAAAAAGTGATATTAAAAGTGCATGCAAGCAATTGAAAGGGATCAAAGCCCCACTGTGGAAACAATGGGAAGGTTTGTGCAGGCTCAGTCAGGAGTATCCAAATCTCAGTTCCCTAGAAGGCTACCCTATTGTTCCCTTTTATTTCTGTCTTTTTTTTTAAAGTCTACTTAAAATTCATATAACTGTAAAGCTACATACAGTATGGGAGTCAGGGCCAAGATTTACAGAGGTCATAAAGCTTCTTTATGATCAGGTGAAAGAACCCCGCAAGGTCAGACTGGCTTTTCCAGTCAGAAGAGTGGGCTACCCATCCTCCTTGACCCTCCCAAGGAAAAGTCAGCTGGACTATCAGAACCAATACTGGGAGTTTTACAAATGTCCTGACAACTTTTATATTTTTATGTTAATATTTGCACAGAGAAAAATCATCCTCATCATTATTGAGTGATATTTTTGTTTCTGGTAATAATATAGCATCTTCCTTTCCTAGCAATGTCAGCATGCCCACTGTCAAGCAACTTTATATTCTATCTCAGTTCACTCCTTTTATGAGCCTGAGAAAGTTATTGGCTAATTTGAATGAGACAATGGAGATGAATATTTTGAAAATGCATTTTTATTTTGACTTTGTGTGCACATTGATTTTTAACACCCCCAAAAAATCGCTGGTGATGGAAAGAACTATTATATATAATTAATGCAGTAGTATATCATTTATATTATGATCTAACTAGTGTCATCTTATTTTTTGCTCCTTTGTATTAGTTGTGTGTTTACTTAACTCATTAAGGTCATAGCAATGTAAGGTTGAGATCAGTTCTTGGGACTATTTATTGTCCTGTTGCAAGTGTATCTGTTACCTATGTCAAGGTCAGTTACAGTTGTTTAGAAAGAACCCAGCTGTGGCTGGCTGATAAGTCCAAGTTTTAAGATGAAACGAAGGGATTGAATCAGGCAAGAACTAGAAGACTTGGAGCCAACTTGAATGCTGCTGCATAATGGGGAAGAGAAGGAAGGATGTGGAAATTCATGGTCTAGTTGCTGCTGAGATGACATAGTTCTGGAAGCACAACATGCTCAGGGTTAACTCTGTGTTTGTTTGTGTATTTTCAATATGTGTGGTGGGTGGGTTGCAGGGAATGGTCACCCCATGACAACTGGCAGCCTTTTAAAAAAAAAATTATTTATTTATGCATACAAGACCTGGGGTGTAGGCCATTGATGGGGGTGGGGGGGGATGATTCACCAGAGACAGAGTGGGGAACAGAACGGGCAGATTGACTGAAATACACTGCTAAGGGGAGCAGTGGGCGAGTCAGGAGAGGTCTGCTGCTCCATGTGGGGCTGCTCCCTGGCCATCCAGGGATCAAACTCGTGCTGCAGAAGCTGAGAATTGCTTCATAATGTGTTGCTTAACCCCTTGCGCCACCAGGGAGGCCCTCTGATGCCTTTTCCCCCTTTCATTGGTGATTCTTATTTGAAAGAAGCTTTTACTTTGAAAGTTTCAAAGACATTTTACTCCACAAATTGTTTGTGCAGTGAAAGTCTTATTTATTGTTAGTGCCATTGCTCTTAAACCTTCAACTTGTTCTTGCTAGTAAAATTTATGTGAACAGGGAGAAATTATTTCTTGGAGCATGGGGTTTGTATTATTCATTATCATTTAACAAATACGCACTAAGTACTCACTAGATGCTAGAATACAAAGGCAAACTGCCTGTTCACAGCATGTACAAAGCCTCACTTGCTGAGATATCGGAGCCCTGCACTCTGAGCCCTGAGTGGACCCACAGACACAGGTACTGCTGTAGGCCAGGTTCTCGTCATGGCAGAAGCCTTCCGGCGGATGGGTGTTTGAGGAGCTACCTTGGCGGAGGCTCTCTTCGTTGACTCTCTAAGCACAGCAGCACGTGCCAAGACTTCCTGTTGAGTAATATAGCCTGGTGGAGAGAAATGAAACAGCAAATTCAACAATTGTGTAAAACCAAAACGCAGACAACCCTGCAAAGAGTCACATATTGATGAGGGTAGGATAGAAGCAATTGTGTTCAGCACACCTAGGTTGTATGATCTTTAAAGACAGGAGGGATATTTTCTTCTTTTGCATTTATCACTAATCAGTTCATGATGCAGAGTCAATGGTTGACATGACAAATCTTTGGTGAGGGACTTTGGCAATGGGAAACCTGTGTAAGAACTGCTTATATTCATTGGCAAAACTTCCTTCAAACCAGAAACATATATTCATTCTATTGTAGTGCTTTGAAAATGTAGTCTGCAGCCCACCTACTACAGAATTATCTGAGCATGGTCACATTTAACATATACATTTCTTTAATGCGGATTTTTGGCCCTACTCCAAAGACATTTTGAATTAGAAACTCAGGAATTTTTGGCCTGGAAACGTGCATCTTAATAGCCTATAGGGGCAAACTCTGAATATGCCTATTCTAAATGGGTTCTGCCATTCGCTGCATCAACACAAAACATATGAGACTTTAATGGGAAGGAACTTTAATACAATTAGGAAACAATACAGGTAAGGCAAAGAGTCTAGTTTCTAAATGAAGCACCTAGAGTTACCCGTCCCCTCGTGGGTAAAACTCCATCCATATGGGATTGGCCCAGAGAAAGGCCCCAAAGCCTGCTACAAGTCTAAAGCACCTTCCAGTGGGGACCCACAGAAAAGGGTCAGAAACAACCAGACAAGCCCGGAAGGAAAAGAGCAAAATCAACATCAAGATAACAGCTGCCATTGTCACCTCCCCACGGGTCTCACCCACATCTGTGTCACCCAGTCCACGACCAAAAGACAAGCGCAGTTTCTTCACATGTCTCTAGGCTCCATGCGCCTCCTCCAGGTCTCCTGGCTCCATCCTGCTTCCTTCCTCCATCTCTTCTGCAGCTTCTCCTCTCCCTGCTCAGCTCCACCCTCCCTTGGGTGGGGCAGGGAACCTGGAACTTCCCCCTTTCCTGGGGACCACCCTGTTACAGTTTCATTGGCCTCGAGCAACTTTACATTATCAATGAAGCTACTAAATAAGGCAGCTGCAATTCTTCAATCATGGAGACCAGACAGAATCCCAGCCTCACTATTTACTATTTGCAGAACCTGGTCAAGTTATTTAACTGATCCATGTCTCAAGTTCTTTTCTGTAAAATGGGAGTTGTAAAGGCACCAGTAGAGGTGTTTGAAGGTTAAATAAGACAGAACATGCATAGTGCTTACAACACTGCCTGGCACAGAGGAGGTTCTACTAAAAGATAACTATTGCTATTTTTGGTTTTATTAAACCACCTGCAAAAACCATGTCTCTCTTTTGTACAAATACAGGCACACAGTGTGAAGTAGATGGGCTAATGCCAAGTGAATGGTTTATTAAAAAAAAAAAAAAGAGTCAGGACAACGGAGAAGGGAGCTGGAGACTGAAAACATTTCCTAGAAGAAAAGGGATTTAATAATAATTACATCTTCACTAGGCTGCTGCTTACATGTCATGAGGGTTTTGAACCATTATTTCCTTTGTACTTAAAATCCCATGAAGATGGTAGGAGAAGAGAAACATCATAGGAATCTGTACAATATTTGGAGCTTGATATCCCAACTGGCATTTACCACCTATATAATTTTATCCAGGTATCTCCCCTGCCTGAGCTATAGTTTCCACAACTGTAAAGTAGGAGGAAAATGAGATATTATATATAAAGCTACTAGCACACTGTCTGGAAGATGGTAAACACTCCATAAATATAACTATTATTGTTGTGAGTAAATCAAGCCTCTGAGTTTATACAACCAGCAACCAGCTGAGCTGACTTGAGCCCAGATCACCTGCCTAAACCCATTGCCATATCTACTAGGTCAAGTTCCTGGACAGCTTGGAGCAGTGCTGTTAACATTTTTTAACAATCCATACTCTGATTTCTTTAAAGAATTTACCCATAAGACTTCACTTTCTATTCTTGAAAGGGAACTGCTAAGCAAATAAAATCTTTCCTGCTTCTTGCTAAAGAGTCATAGGCCTGGTAATGCAAAGTAAGTGTAAATAACAAGTTTGGTTCCTTAATAAGCAGATCTAAACAAGGTCTGGCAGCCGGTTAGGCTGATAGATCACCCAGGCCTTCCTCAAATATCTATATCTTTCTGCTTTTGCGAAGATTTGTATGCTAACTGACCAATGTTATCAATGTAAAATGGTTATGTAAAAAGAAACCCTTTGTCTCTAGACGGGTGCTCAGAACTTATGGGGCTACCCAGGTCTGAGACCTCATGCGTGAGTAATAAAACTTCTCCTGACCTCACCATTTCTGAAGTACCGCTTATTCTTCCCTTGCCTGGGTAAAAGGCTAGAATTTATTTCTGCAACATTATCAGGTATAATAATTTCCAAACTTGGTCTGTCAACTAGGTTGATAAATAGCACACTGGCAGAGGCCATTCTGCTTGAACCATTTATCTGAAAACTTGACTTCCAGCTGCAGCTCACGTGTGTTCCTGAGATCCTGGTTTAGGTCAGGTAGTTAAAACTCACCCAGTTGCTGCTGGTGCAGAAGGGTGTGAACATAGCGGGCCTGCAGGGCCTCCCACTGGGGAGTGGGGTTGTAAATCCTCATGATGCTGTAGAAGTAGCGCTGCTGCCCTGGGGTAAGGTCCTGTCAGAGCACAGTAGGGAATTTTGATGGGTTGGTGGAATTGCTGGGGATGGAGAGACACATTCCCCTCCTTTTCCCCCTCCCTCATCCTTGCTGACCTGTGTGATTATGAATGGGTAAATATAAAGATTCTTGGTAACTAGGTAAAAATATTGGGCTGAAGTATCCCAAGGATTTCCAATATCTTATAATTTTATTGATCTATTATAATTCTGAAAGGTCCATGCAGGAGGCCAGAATGCAAAAACCCACCAGGAAGCCCACCTGGGAACAGGAATGCAGAAGCCTGCCTAGAGGATTCAGGCAATGAACCTCCCCCGCCCTACAAATCTTTTCTCAGACAAAGAAACTCCCCTCCCCATAAACTTCCCCCCACCCCCCCACCCCCCACCATTGCAACCCAGTCTCCCACCTGATCTCTCCTCACCCTATAAAAGCCTGCATCCCCCTGACAATGTACACGGCTCCACTGACCCCTACCTTGGGTCTGTGAGGTCCGCCCAAGGTGCAATAAAATTTCCCTTCCTTTGAGAAATTTAGCCTGGCTCTCCTTTTCTATATCGCGCCGAACCTTTCAAATTCTTCTTGAGAAATGTGGGCTATGAAAATCTACACAGTGCCTAAAGTCTGCCAGGCTTCTGAAGGGGTAAAAGACAGTTCTCCCTTAGCAGGGGAGATAGATAGATGAATAGATGGGTAATGTAAAATGCGCTATGCTGGACACTGTGCAGTCAAGAAAGGTTTCCTAAAAGAGATGATCAACTTATCTGAATATTAAGTGCCAGGAGGAAGTCCTGAAGGGACTAGAATACTGATCTTGAAGGGTATTAGCACCTCCAGGGAACCTTTTAGAAATGCAAATTCCTAACAAGGGCTGTGGGGAGGGACCACAGTCCACTGTGCAGTATTTTGGGTGCTTTGCTGGTAATTGAGACCACACCTTAGGGATGGAAGTCCTATACCTACACTAACAAGGATGTAAACCAATAGTACTTCAAAGGAAAAAAAAACACTAAAACTTAAATAAGAAAAGAAATGCAAATTCCTTGCCCCACCCCAAACTGTTAAGGGGAAAAGTCCAGAAACCCGAGAAATTCTGGGCAGTGGGAGTGGGTCTGGGTTTTGATAAGCATTCTGGGTGGTTTTGATACATGCACACTAAATTTGAGAGCCACTGGATTAGAAGAAAAATAATAGCTTATTAAAGGAAGAAAGTGGCACAAACTTTCTTGTGTGGTACCCAATATCTGGATATACTGGAAACCAGACTTTTAAAAAACTTCCACCAGAACTTAGAGGCTGAGCTGGAAAAGGATATAGTTTGGCAGAGGAACATCATGGAAGCTTTCATATGGTAAGAATTTAAAGATTACCTTTTATATAAGGAGTCATTGAAGGTCTTTATTTAAGACAGTGATTCTCAACAGGAGTGATTTTAACCCTCAAAGGACATTTGGCAGTATCGGGAGAAATGTTTGTCGCAAATGATGGGAAGGAGGAGGAGAGCTATTTGCCTTCCATAGGAAGAGGCCAGGGATGCTGCTGAACATCCTATAGTGTGGAAGACAGATTCCCAGTCCCTTACAATGAAAATTAACCAACCCAAAGAGTCATAACTTAACTGACCAGATTTCCATTTTAGAAAGCTCATTCTGGCCCCGCTGTGGAAAAGGGCTCAGGAGAAGACAGACCATTGGTAAGGAGAACATTTAGAAGCCTACCTGCCACCTATGTTATAGAGGAACAAGAAGGGTAACAACTGCTATTATGTACCTAATATATCTTAAGTGGCTATGTTAGGGGGAAAAGGATAGTATATGCAGATGGGGAAACTGACATAGTGGCATCAACCTTCTAGAAACATCAAGATAAAATGAATTCACTAAAGTTAAAAAATTCAAGATTAGAATTTTCAAAGCTACTTGATAACCACATAATAAAAACTAAATTTTGATAATTACACCAAAGAGTACAGAGGCTTTTTTTCTGTTAGAAATTTTGTGGAATTGAAATCTGTGAGTCAGATTATTTTTTGATTTCTAAAAACCTTAAGCTTGATAGCATATATCCAGAGTGAAAGCAGCAAAACTTAAAACTTTAGTTTAAGATATTTCAGTTTTATAATTTCTGAATTGAATGTTTAAAAAGATATATCTGAAAAGGAACTGGATTCCTAATTAAGTCTCTTCAAAAGATTGAGAACAATCTTCAAAAGTAAACTTCCAAAAGTAAAGCTCTAAAGTGCAATGGAAGTTTGCACGATATAAGATAAAATATTTAAAAATGTGGTTCTATTTCACAAGGAAAAATGTCTACTTATTTTCCTTCGCCAAGCTCTCAACTTTCTAAATGAGAAGTATGACTAATATTCTTATCCTGTTGTCATTCCATGTAGGAATGAAAGAGAAGGGAAATTTATACAGCATATGTATGAGATGGTGTTAACTGACTTTGCCAGAAAGGAGTTAACTTAAGCCTTCGGCAGAGGGTCACAGTGTGTCAGTCACTGAGTCTGCCACCATTGGTAGTGGGTCAGCAAAGAAGAGACAACCACCTACTGGAGCTCCTAAGTGGTTCAGGGTAGGATGAGATAGTCCTTGCTTGTTTGTTGTTTACTTGCTCAATTGCTTGCTCACTCACTCACTCACTCACTCACAAACTCCTTGAACATGCGCTGAATATCTATGTTGGAACTATTGTTCTCCCTATTACTGGGTAAACAAAGATATTAAAAAGAGTTTCCGAGCCTTGAAAGAGAAAAGTCCCTTCATCTGTGAATGATGTGCTGTACCTTTAGTAATGAAGTGTTTGCAGCTGAGTGAGGGACTCGAATGCAAGGAATATGGGGAACATTCCGAAGCTTTTGTTGTAGTTTCTGTTTTTCTCCCATTCTTTATCCTATACTCCAAGGAACAAAAAACATAGGCTAAAATTTCATTTCATTCAACCAGTTTGGGGGATCTTACTGTGCATAACTGCTGTTGGCATTTGATTAGTTTCCTTTCATTTTTCTTTTTTCCCCTATGGGCATTATATGTGATTTTAGAAAAGAGAGATCATACTATTTCTGTTGTGCACTTTCCCAAAATATTAAATATCTCTTGGAAATATCATTTTAGTGGCAACATAGTAGACCTTACACCATTCTCCTTGTTTTAGATATTTAAATTTGCAGTTTTATAGCATTGTACTCTAAAAGGGTTAAACTTAGCCCATTTCTTGCACTTGCTGGACAAAGATAGAAAATGAAGGAGCAGGCAACCCTGCTCTGAGCAAGTCTCTTTTCCATGTGATCAAGGGTTTAAATCTGAAGTTCAAATAATAATAAAAAAGTGAACAATCAAGAGTAGAAAGGCATATTGAGAATAAACATACAGGGTGGTAAAGGCACAGAGCAGAACCTCCAAGAATTTCAGCCTCCACGCAATCCTTTGCCCTTGTCAACATTAATCATTTGCTAAGCTGAGATCATGAATATAGGTTGTTCTCACTTCATGCCAGTTCCTTCTCTCTCTCCTCTGTTGTGTGCTCTTGCATGCACACGCACAAAGTGCACATGCTTCAGAAGTACTTTAACGTGAGAAGACTCGTTCTGAGTTCACAGATCTAAGTTCACAGATCTAACTTCCAAAGGAGAAATTTATTAGGAAAACTCAGTCAACCTCTCTGTGTGTCCTGTTTCCACTACATAAATGAATATATTAAACTGTAAATATTTTATTTAACTGTTTTTCTTCAATGTGCACTCCAGAAACCACACCAACCAAAACACACTCTTTGAATATTCTCTGTGACAGAAGCCTACATTGCGCTGTACTCATATGGACCCAATACCCCTCCTCCCATTTTCTAGATCTGTGGAGCAGAGCATAAATATTCTTCAAAACTGAAAAGATTTCTTTCCTTCTCAAATAGCATAAAGAAATGACTGATGATCTTTTTTATGGCAACAATTCCTATGTGTGCTTTTCTTGGGCTATTGCTGAGGAAATCTATCTCACCTATTCAAGTGATAAAGTTTATCACCTATACCTGATAAAGTTTGATTAAAATGCTTGGGGAATCCGGGGGGGGGGGGGAAGTCTACAAAGTAACTTATATCTGCAACTAAAAGACAGTTTTACTTAAAAGGAACTTACGCTGTATTGTAGCCTCCCCTTTTTGAAAAGCTGGTTTTCACGTTCAATATAGTGTTCTTGCCAGTTCTCTTTCTTCAAGCTATGGCAGTGGCAGAAATTCAGTCTGTTGATAAGTTGATATCCAAGCAACATCATGTGATGAAACACAGAGCTGGGGAAACTTGGCTGCATGCCCTTCCCTGCTTTTGGACAACATTCAAGTGCACAATTTAATCTTTTTTTTTTTCCTCCCAAATTTGTGTCTATGGTCCATGTCTATACCATATCTACATGATATGCAGGATGGGGGATAAATGTGCATGGAGACAGAATATTAATGGTCAAGAAATCCAGTCCATCCCATGAATATTTCCCAGATTTGGAGTCAGTAATCCTCACTCTCATATACTCGGAGTGACAAAGGCATAATTCTTACTATACAGATATGGGCATGAATTTGTCTGTAGTCACCTATGGAATTGATCATAGGTCAAGATAATGTTGCCTTTTTTTTTTTTAATTTTTAGAGGAGTAAGATACTCTCTAGTTTTGATCTTGGATAGAGGTTACATATGATGATAATGAACCCAAGACAAGAAGATTCAGATCTCATCAGTATAAGCCTGACTCTTGAAAACAATCTTATCCTTTCCTGTGCTAATTTATTACTATAGAGTTCCTTTTTTTTCTTGAGAATCCCCCTTCTGAATGCTAGCTTATCTGCAAAGATGAAGCATTCCTGGAGAAATGGAAAAAGAAACAGCAAAAGAAAACCACAGATTCTTAGGAGACTCAGAGGAAGATAAAAACAGGGAGATAAGATTGATGAACTATGTGGCTTAAAGAAGAAAGAAAGGACAACTCAACAGACACAAAATGTTTGTTTTATTCTCTAATTTAAACACAGACTATCTGGGGAATAAATGTGGCACAAACAAGACTATAAATGCCAATGAATACCACAAAACCTCACAATGGTTCTGAGCTTGGTGGTTCTCTACTGAGAGATAAAGAACAGTCGTCTGCAGAATTGACATTTTCAGTTGACTCTTCCTTGAAAGTTTTCCCAGGAAATGATAAAATGCCATCTAGGGCATCTGCAGACTGTCACGGGCACAGTCGTCTATACACTTTCCTCCCCCACATCTGCATATAACACAAATGCAGTAGGCTTAGAAGTTGAAACTTGACTAGACACAAAGTGTTGAAGAAAAAAGATTAATCCACGCAGTTGGATGTTGTACAGAGGCGGGAAAAGCATGAGGGAAATTCACCCAGCTCTGTTTCATGAACATGGTGTTATTAGCTTATCAGCAGACTGAATTTCCACCATCACTACATACAGTATGAAGAGACACTGCAAGAAAATTTGCAGAAACCTGGGAAATCCCTGATTTATAACAATGTTCATTAGTCCTTCCCAATCAGGAAAACAGAAATAGATCTAGGTGCATGACAGAAAGGAAATATGATGCATGAGATCAATTACAAAAGTATTGGAATGGGTTAGAAGAGTGAAACAAGAAAGACTAGTTTATCTAAAGACTGGTGGTCACACATCACTGGAGACAGAAGGGAAAATGACCTCACCTCCAGTGCACAAGCACTAGCACTGAGGTGCTCTGCTGAAACACTGCTTCCTGAGCCCGGCCTGGGACCTCACTCCCCAGCCAGCCTTGCTTTTATGTGCTTCTCTCAACTGCTACTATCTCTCATGTAATCGCCATTGCTGCCACTGCGCAGATGCCAGCAGAAGCTGTGAAAATTGCTTCTCCTTTTTTCTAGCCTTCCATTTCCTGCTTCCCATTGGATGCCAGTTGGCAAGGTATTCTGCCTAATTTATTTTGCAATGTCCCCACTACTCTGGTAAGGAAAAAAGTATAGATGGGTAAGTACTAAGCTGAGAAATAGTGGACACCAACCTACACATGGGAATACCATTGACAAAAACATAAGAGGCACTTATGGAATCTATGAAGCCAGGCAGAGGCTGAATAACTTAGACATGCAATCAATGTTTGGTAATATGATGAAAATTTGGAATTTCTAAGAAAAACCAAAACGAGATACTTAGCTCTATAGATCATGTCAAAGAATGAAATAAGAATTTTTGGACAAGGATTTAAGACTGAAGAATAATGAAAAATGTGTATCACCAATTATGAATTAAAGATTATTTTTCCAAAGACTAACGACTTTTCCAGGGGAAATAAAACTGACTACAAAAAAGAAAAAATAGAAACACCATAATCTAATTAGAGAATATAATGTTGATTCTTCGTAGTAAATATGCATACAATTTCATAGTTGAAACATTCATACAATGGGATAGTGCTCACATTAAATTGCTTATATATCAATGTTTAGAATGTGTGTAGTAAAGTGTTTTCATAGAATAGCAGGGTAATCGTGACCTCAGTGGCAGATATGACTACTTTCCTCCAAAGCACACAGATAACCCCCTTGGCTACCCCAAGCCCAAGTAACTTGCCTTTCCCCACTCTGAGTCTGTCTACCACCTGGACTGAGTATCTCTACTCAGTTTTACCCAGTCTTTGCTTTTACCCAGTCTGGCTTTGCTTTGTCATAGGGCTGCATAGTTCATTGAGCGCAATCTGGTCCAGTGGGAGTTGGGGTATGGGTTGATTATTTCTGTTATCTTGTTTTTTTTCCTCCAATAGTCACAGAAAACTCCAAGATTGCAAAACAAAAGTAGGGAATCCAGTTTAGACACCCCGTAGGTAATCCAGTTTAAAGTAAAAGAGCCACTTACAATGAGTGAAAGCTATTTGGGACATTTATAAGCAGAGCTTATCAGTAACAGAAAAGCTGTATATAGTCATATATGTACTAAGGATTAAACAAATTCAGAAAGTTCAGAAACAAACCCTAAAATGGAATCTAACTAAAAAGGGAAAATGTCCATAATTTAATTATTTACTATGTGGTTTTTAATTAATACTGGTTTACAACACTGTGTATTATTTGCAGGTGTAAATTTATACCTCACCAGATGAATGTTACCATTCCACACCCACCGCCAAAGTACCCATAATGCATAGCTTATAGGCCTCCTTCCCCCTTTGCTCTCCACTTCCCTCCACCCTCCTGCTCTGGTAGCCTCAATTCCACAGATTTCTTGCATTTATTTTAGTATAATTTTGTCTGTTCCTATGTTTTGTTTATCTATATTCAACATATGGGTGAAGTCATATGCTATTTCTTTTTCCCTGACTTACTTCAGTTAGCATAATCCCCTTCAGTTTCTGTCCATCTTGTCACAAATGGTAAGATTTCATCTTTTTTCTAATAGCTGTGTAGTGCCAGCAAGCACAGGGCAGATTCTCTATCAGTTTGAGCAGACGGGTAAAGAAGAGTCCTGGAGCCCCCAGTGGCTTTTTCAGGCTTTGATGCTCTTTCTACACCAACTGTTGTGCAGAAAGCCTGTAAGCTGGCAAGGCAAGGAGGCCTCCCCATCCTGGGAGAATCTTTACTCTTTCTCTTTGAGCTCTCTCTGGCATTCTTTCTTGGTTTCTTCCTCTCATCGCCGTTCTGCAGCAGCTATCCCTACAGCCTCAGCCTCCAGGCTCAGGTGTGCCCACTTACACATGCCCACACTACACTCCAGGTGCCCACCATAAGGCATGCGTACCCCAAGCCCATGCTCCTAAATGCCTCCTGCATTCAAGGCTGCAGGAAGTATATCATTGTGTATATATATATATATATACATCACATTTTCTTTTTTTATTTAGTAATAGTGGATTACAACGTTGTATATGCTTCAGAGATAAGTTTATACTTCTTCAGATGTTGTTACCATACCACACCCACCCCCCCCCACCCCTCCAAAAAGAATCCTCTATGGAAGAAAGCAGTAATATAGTAAAAAGAAAACTAATGTATGTGGGATCCTGCAGACAATTCTAAATGTGTGACCAGGTTATTTTCTTAACATGTAAGACTTTATAAAAAAGTGTTCTCTAGGGAATAGCGATGGTCCTCTTAAAATAGATCCTCTGCCAGAGATTTTTAGTGAGCCAGGACTCAAACCCATGGTTACCTAGAGTTTGTGATGTTTCCCTTGGAAGCTGGAACTTAATGGGAATCCAAACAACACACATTGCTATAATAGAAAATCACCCCTCCTACCCAGCCATTATGCACAGACAAAATTCGTGCATCTTGATTCTTTCTGTCCTTGGGGTATGTTCCATTCCCTTCTGGAATGTTACTTGGTTAAATAAGGGGAAGCTTCAGTTTCATTAAGACTTATGGTAATAATTATGCAATAGGATATTAGTCTTATTATAGCAAGTCATACGCCTTCTAATAAGACTCCTGGGAAGGAGTCCAGTAGACCAGTCTCATCAATCCTAAAACCTACCCAAGTAATTCTGAACTCACTTTGGATATGGATGTGAAGCTTAGGTCATTGTGCACACAAATGCTCTCCATCTTTATTCTTTTTTAGAAAGTGAATTGAATAAAAATACCGTCTACCACTTGCAATAGATTAGCAAAGCAACTTTATAAATATTTAAAAGATGAATACTGACAGTTATATATTTTCAGACAATGTTACTTCCTTTTGTTGTTACTGTTATTGAGGGTTGGGGCTTTTAGGTGTTATAGACCTGGTGTTTCTGCATTTGACTAAGTGCCTTGTGGAGTCCTCATAGATAGATGAGTACAATTTGAAAATTGCTAAAAATTTATAACAAAGGGTGCTGACTATGGGATCTGTGACAGGCTGTTGGTAGCATGCCTGATTTATCCCCCAGTTTGACCAAGGACTTGAGTGAAGGCATGGTAGACAAGTTTATTATGTTTTCAGATGACCTCCATCTAGGTAGGTGGGATGGAAAACACGATGGGTGGCAGAATCGGGATACTAAAAGAACTTGAGAAGTTAAGGTGGTGGACTGCATCTAACACAATGAAATATAATAACAATAAAAGTAAGATTCTGCAACAGAGCTTTAATTCTAATCACACAAATACAGAAAGGGAATTTGGGGTTAGTAGCAGTTCAGACACAGGGGAAGTAAATGCAGAATGAGTTAACGAGGCTGCCAACAGGATTCACAAGTG